GCCATCACTAGTAGGTTGGAGGCCATCGCTTCTAGGTTGGAGGCCATCACTAGTAGGTTGGAGGCCATCGCTTCTAGGTTGGAGGACATATCGCTTCTAGGTTGGAGGCCATCACTAGTAGGTTGGAGGCCATATCGCTTCTAGGTTGGAGGCCATCGCTAGTAGGTTGGAGGCCATCGCTACAGTAGTAGGTTGGAGGCCATCGCTAGTATGTTGGAGGCCGTCGCTACAGTAGTAGGTTGGAGGCCATCGCTATTAGGTTGGAGGCCATCGCTAGTATGTTGGAGGCCGTCGCTAGTATGTTGGAGGCCATCGCTACAGTAGTAGGTTGGAGGCCATCGCTATTAGGTTGCAGGCCATCGCTAGTATGTTGGAGGCCGTCGCTAGTATGTTGGAGGCCATCGCTACAGTAGTAGGTTGGAGGCCATTGCTATTAGGTTGCAGGCCATCGCTAGTATGTTGGAGGCCGTCGCTAGTATGTTGGAGGCCATCGCTACAGTAGTAGGTTGGAGGCCATCGCTATTAGGTTGCAGGCCATCGCTAGTATGTTGGAGGCCGTCGCTAGTATGTTGGAGGCCATCGCTAGTATGTTGGAGGCCGTCGCTACAGTAGTAGGTTGGAGGCCATCGCAGTAGGTTGGACGATGCACAAAACGACCTGTGCGGGCTCACGGTTGAACGAGCTTCCCCCCCAAAGTCGACGACTCCAAAAACCGGGGATCACCTGATTCCTTCCCACAACGCACCAAGTCGCAAATCCCATTGGTTGGGGATCCGTCAGACCACCCCGGCTGCACCCACTGCTGTGTTCGTGCGGCCCAGCCACCGTCCGTGCTGGGATCATACTTGGCGCTGCCGGTCTGCGTACTCTCACAGACTTGACCTGAAAAAGAAGCCAGCAAATCCGAAGCGCATGGCAGTCACTGGCCGTCAAATTAGCAAAACCCACCTGTTGGGGGTGTTCAAGGATCCACATGGATCCTAAGTAATTTTCGGGCCATCAAGAGGGACACACCGGAGCTGCGCTTTATCGCATTTCATGAACCCCTGCCTGCAAGCTTCGAAACCGCATAGAACTCTGTTTCGGTCTTTGGCCAAGCATCTTCACTACATCCATCGCGCTGAGAACAAGTGTAGTCACAGCTAGCGCCCCCAGCGCCCTTGACCCAGGTCACGCTGCGCACTGGCGTGATATGTGTGAGCAGTAGAAGCAGCAAGGCAAAGAAGTTGGTCATGAGGAATTCAATCTCTGTGACTTAATTTTGGGCCAATGTCTGCAGAATCTATGGACCGTGGCTCTCCCGTGCCTCGTAAGATTCGTCTAGCCACAAGTCTGCTGTGCCAATGGCTGATAGACTTCAAGCAAGCCATCCAGCACCCTTTTTACTGTGATCACTCAGATTGTCACAGCCTCGATGTCAGTGTCCTGGGAGACCATTCGCTTGGTTCGATGCTGAAAGCAAGGATCTAGGAGAGACGGGCTGAGAATCGGGTTAAGACGGGCTGACACTCCAATCCTCATCTTCGGAGACAGCATCAACATCTGTGGGTCCCTGCCGAGGCGCAGCTAACATGAGCAAACCACAGCAAGTGTGAAAGCAAACAATTACTGGGACTCGGCTGCACGCCTCTTGGGGCTTGCCATTTCTGCCACCTGCGGGCTTGGCATTGCATCAATATAAGCTGGTCAACCGCCTCAGGCCTGCTCGTACTCTGCTGGCAACCTGCTGGCAATTTTCGGTGACCACTGACACTGCAACTCCCTGGAAGTTCTTGATTGCACCAGTATTTATGATCAGGGCAGAGCAATATTACATCAATCTTGTCATACAATGCAAAGCGCTTCGGCATGCAAGCTTCAAGCCGGGAACGTTTCAATAGGCTCGGGCCTTGGCATTCTTGCCGGGAGGCCGCCTGCAAAAAGGTCAAGCAAGAGCAGGAGCTGTATAGATCGGATCAAAGGTCAAAAGCCTGAGCTAAACCAGAGAGAGAGAGAGAGTGCTCCAATGATCTTATCATATCCAACAACACACACACACAACAGTACATGAGTTTGACCCCTTTTTGGGATGCATCGCAATCTGAATCTTCACCCACCTACCATCACCCACTAAGCTTGTTGTTCGGCCTCTCGTCCTCTTCGGAGTCGGCCTGGCCGAGTCAAAGGGACGTCCCAGTGGAGGGTCTGATGGGTATCCTGAAAAGATCTCAATGGAGAGAGGTTCACTAGGTGTCATGAGAGGTCTATACATATACATACATATACATTACACAAATATACATATATATATATACATATCTATTAGATGTTTATTTGACCGACTTGCCAAAAGTGTCAGACCTTTGCAAGATCATCTGCGATCCTACCGCGTCAAGCTTCGGTGTGCCGGGAGCACGGAAGAGCTCTCCACCGGCTGATAGATTGGAGGGCCTGGCATACCATTGGGATTGACCGATCCCAGGGCATTTCAGAACTCGAGAAGATATTCACCAACAGTGGTCAACAACACTTTCTGAAACCATGGTTTTGAAACCATGTGTTGGAAACATTTGGAAACTATGTTTCGGAAATTAGGGATGTTCTGGAAAGTACACATGTTTCTGAAAGGATGTTCGGAAAATGACTATGTTTTGGAAACTGTTTGGAATGTTTTGGAAACTTCATTTGATGTGAAAACATGTTTCGGAAACTCTATGGCTTTCGGAACCACCTGACCCCACCTGAGCCAGCAAGCGTCTACACGAAGTTACGAAGTTAGATACTGTCCCAAACACAAAGAACGCCAACGTTAGCCCCCACCCCTCCACACCGACCCACCCACCCCCGCACGCATGCACGCAAGCCAGGAAGTGTCTACACTAAGTTACATACTATCGTAATTGTGGTTTTTGACAGGCAAGTAGTTTCACAAGCGTGGTGTCTGAAGCGTGGTTTCTGAAATGCACATAGATTCTAAGGATGGAGTTCCTGAAACTTAGTTCCTGCAACGCACATAGTTTCTGAAACGTAGTTTCTGAAACGCGCGTACAAATGTGTGCATGGTTGCTGAACACGGTTTCTGAAACGTGCATAGTTGCCTGAAACAGGCGTAGTTTCTGAAACGTACGTAGAGTCTCTGAAACGGATGCTTTTTAATCAGAGATGACCAGGGATGCTTTTCTTGTTGAAAGCGTCTCGAAGTGATGCGGAGGCAACTCATCAAGGCTCCAGCCAGTCACACCCGGCGGAGGGCCCCATGGCCTGAGAGTCAATTCTTGAGGCCCTTTTGGTACCGAGAGTGACTAAATAAATGAAAGTCTGTGAGGCGTACTTGAGCGCCATGGATGTCCATGAGGTGCAATCAACACAATTGCCCGGCTGTGGATGTTTCTCCCAGAAAAGCTGTGCAAACACCTGGGCACCCCACCTGAAAATCGCGCCGCTTGGTGCTGCAGCATCGGGCCGGAAGATATTGCTGGGTGGTGGCATCCCAGGCCTCAGGCTCCATTGTTCGGTAAGAAGCAAGGCCGGCAAAAGCCGGCATGCGGCATGCGCCCTGAATCAAAACACTGGCACAAGGAAACAATAGCCTTTTGTCCTCTTTGGTCTATGTGCAATGTATGGCCTTGGGCCATGGGGAGTCATTTCTTTTCAGCGATACTTAGTCTCAGGGAGTTCAGATCTTCGTGCCTGATAACCAAGTGCCTCTGTGGCTTCTCATTCATGAGTCTTTCTCAACATGAAGAGACGCTTTTGACTGCTATGTCATGCTATGTCATGCTATGCCTATGTTCTCATAATTTCTCACATTCCTTTGCATCCCATGTCCGAAACCAAAAGACAAACCCTTTGGAGGTCTCAGTCTGACTCAGCCCGCCGCCACGTCCACGGCGCTCCCGGCGGGCCCGGAGCGCCCGGCGGGCCCGGCCAGTGGGGGCCGGGCACCGCGGGGCCGACGGGCGGGACGGGCGAAAAGGGGCCCAGATGTGGTGGAAGAGGTGGAAGTCCCCAAGGTGGACCTGAGTTACATGGTGGATCGATCTTTTAGAAAAAGAGCTGATTAGAAGCAGATATCAGAACCTCTAGGGAGGGTTGACTCCGCGAGCCTGGTGGTGGAACACTTGGTGCACCAGCAGGTGGAGGTGGCAGCTTGTCAAACCTCAGAACGGGGCTGGCAGACCCAACCTGCGCTGTGGCAGATGATGTGTCTTTGTAAAGTCAAAGAAAGTCCAAACATGAGCGGGCAAGCGTATCCAATTCGAAGTTGGGAGCACCAGGTTTGGCAGCATGCAAAGCATGCACCGTCTAGCAAGCTGAGGACAGCACTTGCTGCAAAACCAAGATTCATGACCAAACTCAAGAGCCACCTGCTGAAACAAAAAACGCCACAATGATGCTAGAAGACCTTTAGTCAAGGAGCCAAACAGGAAAAAAGAATCCACGGTTGGTCTAGGATGATGTGAGGCTTCTGATTGGCCTTTGTGATTTCTCTGTTCGTTCTTCGTCTGGGGCTGTTCGTCCTTCGTCTCATGGATCGGCACTGGGCACTGAAGAGTCGCAAAGATTTGTAAGCGATTTAAGAGATATGCCTGCAAATCACTCTGCATCCCTCCAGCAAGATCTTGCTGGAGGTGGCGGAAAAGGCGGCATGCAAACGTTGAGCTATTCGCTGGGAGACAATAACCAGGCATGGCAACTGCCATGTCCATGTGCTTGATCATCAAGCACGATCCAGTCTGATGTATCAAACTGGGTGGAAGATTGAAGAAAGCGTGGGTCAGAATCGGTCAGAATGTTAGTTTTTTGGGCCATGCTTACCCCCCTTCGCGGCCTAGTTTCCAGACCTTAGATTGGAGAACCGGGGAGATTTCGAGGCTGAAGCGACCCACAGCTTCTTCCTAAACTTTCCTATGGCTACTTGGCGGCTGAGCAATTCATTCTCCACAGGCACCGTGGGATTGAGTCACTCAGTTGCTCCATACCTCAGTTTCTCCAGACTCATCACCAAAATTCTTATGGGACCATCAATGATTAGAAGCACACACCTTTGCAACATGTCCAATGAAATCTGAGGCCCTGGCCGCATGAACACCAACCAGGATACTGAAGGAACCCACCAGAACCTCGGTATAAAACAAATGGGAAGCAAGCTGTGCTGGGGAGCAACAAGAAAAAAACAGTGCTTGTCACGTGATAGACATCCCACATTTGGGTCAAGCTGAGACGCCAGAAGTGAGGTGTAGGCCTTGGTTCAAAAATGTCCTGTGCTTTCGATGACCCAAACCACCAGGACTACTGGCATCATGAAGTCCATACGACTGCTTGAGTGTCCTTGTTCAGTTCTTGCAGAAAACGACACTGGCACCCTGCAATCAAGAGACATAGAGTGCCGGGTACAGAGGAAGAAGAGGTTTGCCGTTGCGAAGAGGCACTGAGAGCTCTGTCGATCCTGCGGGGTGGGATCAACGGTGGAAGCGTCGAAGGGATCATGCGCTTTTCTGACCGTGGAGGATGATCTAAAGACCAGCTGCAGCTAAGACCCTTGGGCTCTTTATGTTTGAAGGCCATTTGTACAGGCAGAATTTCTCGAGCTGTCCTTTTCTGGAGAGCTTCAGGTACACACTGGAAGGGCCTCGCGCAGACCGCACGCGTAAGAAGCCCAAACACACTATAAGAAAGCAAATGGCACCAATCAACCGTTGTTGTTCCGTTACAGTAGAACTCCACATCCATGAGCATCACAAGTCATCCCAAGCTGGAAGGGATTCTAAGCCCCCAACCGTTTGTGGCGAACTCCCATGTTTGGGATGTTTTGACTCACTTGCACCTCGTTTGGCCCGCCCAGCTTGGTTTTGCCGAGGATCAGATCCAGCAGAGGCTGGAGCCGACCACAGCGCCCAGGGTTCCGGTCACTTTGGAAACGTCCTGCAGAGTAGGGGGAGCTCAGCCTGCGCCTGGGCCTGATGGGCTGATGTGTGTGGAAACATCCGAGAATCTTGAAGAACCTCTGAAGAAAAGCATGGATTCGATATCAAGAATGCATGTTCTGGTTTCAATAAGCTACAATCACTCGACCAAGGCTTTTTCGATGGCAAAGCCTTATTGAGGCTTTGTCGCCCACTCCTCGACGCAGCATGCCACAAAGGAGATCGCACAAACCATCGTGCAGGTGATGGACACCTTCGTCGAAGCCCCAAGGTCTTGACGAACGTCGAGGGTCCAAGGTTTGGCCACTCAGGTTTGTCACTCACCACCGTGTCAAGATTGAAGTCCGGCTTTGAATGGTCCCTTCCTTTGAAAGCCTGGATCGTCCACCTGAAGCTCGATCCCAGAACGGACTGGTTCGAAATCAACATGGCCAAGGAGCATGTGCCAGCAACGGCTGCTTTCTCAAGGCCTGCATCAAGCTAATGAACTCCGACATTCAGACCACTCATGTATGCTGCAAAGAAGTATCTGGCTCAGGAGCTTGGGATATCAGCTGACACCACAATGTATTGTCTTGTGTTGAGGCTTCCAAATGTTTGATCATGGAGCTTGCTCTTGACAGCTCCAAAATTCTCAGGCTCCAGGCCTCCTGCAAGGCTGGCTGAGATCCTACCAGCGCTTCTCGTGCTGCAGTGAACACCAAGGGGTAGGTGAAAATGACTGCCTCGAACGTATCAACGCATGTTTCACGTAACGTATCGTGGCCATCAGGCGGCGTTCGTTGGGATTTCTAAGACACACCGAGGAGCAAAGGCCATGCCAAACCAAACCATCCTGATGCAAAAGAGACGACTCTGCTGGCTCAACCAACTCCTCAAACTTCACAAACTGCAGCTGTGGTGCATGATGGCGGTGTTGTCCGGGTCATAGTTTCGAAGCACATTACCTCGGATGAGCTTTCGTCTTTCGTTCGAAGCATCTTCAAAGGATCAGAGTGATGGTGTTCCACATTGTTCCACAATGAATTGTCCAGTCCGTTGTTCAGGACACCCAGCTGATGCTCAAACTCTCTACTCAGAGATCCAGGCCGACCAACTCATCTCCAAAGAGTCCAAGGCCAGATACTGCGAAGACGGAATAGATCTGCAAACGCCACAAGACAGGCTCTCTTTTTAAGGCCGCTCCTACTAATTAAGTAGGCGCCTACTTAATCAAGTCAGGGACGAGCTTGTAAGCTACTAGCAACAGGAAGCTCCTAGCTAGGACGCGATAGCTCACGCTTCTTCAAGGAACCTCCCCCCCGCCTGAGGATGGGGGAGCTTCCTTGAAGAAGCACTCGCGCTAAGGATTTGGTTCCTAGATGTTTATGGAAACTTAACTTTGGAACTTACTCAAAGAGTTGACGGGCTACGTCTCAAGATGTTTCGGAAGTCTTCTAGAAAGGTGCACTTTGGCTCTTGAGGTGCTCATCGCTCTTTCAGGACTCACATCAAAGATCACCAATCCAAACAACTCGCAAACCTTTTGGGTAAATAAATATGTGTGTGTGTGTGTGATAACCATGGGAAGGAGCAAAACCAAGGTGGGGCTATGGTCCATAATTTAATGGTCACTGGTGAGTTGTTCTGAGTTTGTGGCCGTCAATGCAGTGCTAAAGCTGGCGACCACCGTTTGCGCATGGGCTTTGAGGTCGCCACCAAGCCTAATTGAAGGCTCTAAGTCTCATCAACCATGTTTGCACTTGGGTATAAACACAAAGGGAAAAGTGGCAAGCAGGTTAGATATGGTTAATTTAATTTTGTCCTGTGACTTCATGAACAACCTAAGCCTCTAAGCTCAGCACTGCTTGAAAATGCGAGGTGCGTTGTAATGAGCCTGGACATTGAGAAAAGTCCAAAGGGGTTCACTAGCTGTGTCCATTGCCCATGATATGTGTGTTTTTTCATCAGAACGTCACCGGTCGCAGAACTCTCCTGAAAGGCACCGGTGCAAAGGGCAACGGTTCTGAAGATGCCCATGTTGAGGTGCAGGGCGTGCGCCTGAAAATCAAGGTGTGATGGTTTTTCTCAAGATTCCAAGGCACCCTGCATGTTCGAAGTGTCTCTCCTTGAGGTTGTTCCGAGCATGTTCGAAGTTTCCGAAGCAGTCATGCACAATGAACCTGCGAAGATCAAGATGTGACCCCGCCGGAGTCTCTCACAAAAAAACACATCTGCAGATTCTGAGTTGCATCCAAGCAGCAGGAACCTGAGAGGAAGGGTTGTGAGACATGTGACAAATCTGGTAACTCTCAATCTCATGGCCATTGACTATAGATTGACTTGTGCTGTGTAGCTCGGAGTGCAAACTCTGTTTCTACGCCATCCAAGCTCAGCAAGGCTGCCGAGGCACACAAATGCTACGATCACAAGGCCCAGCATGGAAGTGTAGCGCAGCGCGGAGAGGTCTTTTGCATGTGAGAGCGGCAGCATAAAGCAACCTTCATGGCACTAAAGGCTACCCGAGGGTACTGCAGTAAGCAATCCGCTTGGTTCTCACAAACACATCCCGCTCGTGGACATATGGACATACGTGCATCAGGCACAAGCAGTTTTTCCCGAATGCGTAGCGAAGGGTTCTCATTTAACTCCGGGGGTCTGGGGGTAGAGTCTTGTTCGCGACTCGTTGTCTGAGCGACCGCAACCGTCCACAACCATTCGCAACCGTTTGCAACCGTCCACGGTAGGGCGCTAAGGCGCTGCCATTGGGGGAAGCTTTTGGAGAGGGTTTCGGATGGAAACGTGACGTGTCAGATTCGTGCCAAATAGCGAGGAATCATGTGGAAACGAAAGATGTTGAAGTCTGGAGGATGATTTCACTGCGCAGGCGCAGCGTTTTGTGAGATTCGCAGTTTTCTGCGCAGTCACATTGGGATTAGAATTTGGAGAGTGGTGTTTTTGGGGTGTTGGATGTGGCTGTGACATTGGGATTTGCGTTTGAGAGTGTTGCATCGAAGCTGACGATTTTGGTGGATGGGAGTGTGCTCAGAACGTGTCGAATCATTCCAACCGTGTGGTGTGGCGCAATTTTTGTTGAAGCTGACATGATACGATATTGTCACTTGCGCAGTACTTTGTGCGGGTTTTGTGGTATGGAAATGTGATTTTCGTGGCAGGCACAGGGAATCGTGAAGTTGCGAGGTGTGGCGGAGGTCACATGTCGTGGCAGGCGCAGTACTTCGTGCGTGTTAGGCGTGTGGACGCGTAAAGTTTCGTGGCAGGTGCAGGGAATCGTGAGGTTGCGAGTTGTGGTGGAGGTGAATGTTGCTGTGACATTGGGATTGGTATGTGAGCGGGCGTTGTTTGGAGGGGCTGGAAAATCGCAAAACTGCTTGGCTGCTTGATGCGCGTGCTCTGACGGGGCTCCCTGCTTGACTTTTGGAGGAAGTCTTGTACGATAC